TTTTCTTTTACATATTCCCATTGCTTGCTGCTGAAAGGCAGATAAATTTTTTTACTTTTGACTGCTATTGTTATTTTTATTATTGAAACTTTTTTGTACGAATTTTTTTTGACTTCTAAATGTAATTAACTGATTGTACCGTAACACGCCGACAGCACTTGCACTTGTTGGATTGAAAAAAAAATTCTTTAAGTAACAAATAAAATTTGTGTTGAAAAAGCTTCTTAATTTTAAATTTTTTAATAGCCATATTTAAGAATGCCTGCACGTAAACTGCATTGTCAAGCGAAGCAAAAGGTTTTGTAGGAGGAGAAGGGAGAAAAACGATTAAACAAAAAAATTATTCGTTCACTATTGCGTTGCATTTTAGCAAACTGTTATGGCATTTTCGTCAGAAAATTTCACAAATTGCGATATTTTTTATGTTTTAAATTGTTGCTTAAACATTTAGCTTAATTTTGGAAAACCTAAATCTCACAGACCATATTAAAATTTATCGTTTTTTAGCTTTTTTCTTTTCGACTAATGCTAGGGGGTTCCGTTTTTATTATTTGGAATTTGTGAGTCGTACAACGATGTTTTGCTGGTGGAAACATTGACGCAGAGCATCAAATAAAGTAGAATCCTGTGAAGTCGATGGTAGAATTTAGTCAATTGAGGTGCTTTTCTAAATAAGCTTTACACAAGTGGCACAATCTTCATGCTGCTCAATGATAATTATCGAATTTGGTTGTCTACTGAATGAAATAAATAGAATCTGTACATCTGATGCACCACCAAAATTCATTTACCCCGATCTACGCCGTATTTCATACAATTCTGCGTCGTTAAGGTGGTGGCAAAACAACCGACGAGTGAGTTTAGTTTCATAATAAAATACCAAAGGCATATTCTGAACAACAAATAAGGCAATACATCTAACTAACTTTATTAAAAAGCATTATATTACACGAAAGGATATTCGTTCAAACATGCAATCCGTCTTCTGGACCGTTAAAAATTCATTGAAAAAACATACTAATCGCTTTAGTGCACACTAAGCCATAATGTATGCTAATGAAGGTTTAATGCATAACCTTATAGGCAACAAACGTGCAGCTAAATAATAGACATTAGCAATAATTGCCGCTGTTCTTTGTACC